TCTTTATCTTTCATAGCAAGTCCAGATGACTTCACTTTCATAACATATTCCAAATGTTGTTAATTCTGTCTCCCTAGGCACCACCTCAGTACCAAGTTACTATGGCCTTTTATGTGTCTTTCTTCCACAGCCTCCTTTAGTGGTTTCTCTGCTTCCATTTTTTTATTTCCCAAAACCAAATTTTCCACAGACCCCCACACAAGTCTGTGGAAAAATTGTCTTCCGTGGAAACAATCCCTGATTCCAAAACAGTTGGGGACTGCTAACATATATGGTAGCTAATATATATGTTTTAGTAAATGAGTTGTTATATTATGTTAGAACTGAAGATATAGTAATTCAATGAATAACTATAAATCAGATTTAACTTTTTATATTACTTTAGCTTCTTTGATGAAAATAGGTTTTGGGGCCAGCCTTGGTGGCTCAATGATTTAAAGCACATATAACTTGTGGTGCATTTTATTTCTAGTCTTATTACATTGCAATATATAATGAAATAATATACAACTCACCATAATGTAGAATCAGTGGGAGTCCTGAACTTGTTTTCTTACAACTAGACTGTCCCATCTGGGGATGATAGGAGACAGTGACAGATCATCAGGCATTAGATTCTCTAATGGAGCACACAATCTAGATTCCTCACACGTGCAGTTCACAGTAAGGTTTGCACTCTTATAAGAATCTAATGCCACTGCTGATCTGACAGGAAGTGGAATGCAGGCAATAATGCAGGCAATGGGAAGCAGCTGTAAATACAGATGACGCTTCCCTGGCTTGCCAGCCACTCATTTCCTGCTGTTCAGCCCAGTTCCTAACAAACCATGGACCATTGTGGATCCATGGCCCAGGGGTTAATAACCCCTGTTATATAGTATTCGACACTGAAAATACTTGAAAGCAGCACACAATTTTTTGTTCTCTGCCCTCATCGAGTTCACATTTGAGTAGGGAAGACAAATATTGAATCAGCAATACAACATGGAGGAGAAAAGGGAAAAAGAAAGATGTCACATGAAATAAAAAATGTTTCAGTGGGAAAGGATTATACTGCCATTCAAATTCAGTGTAACAAAATATTGACTTACACCTTATGTCCCTTAGGTATTCTCTAGGGAATGAGGAATGAAAACATCTTAGTCATAGATCACAGCATAGTTAAACATCTTGTGGTAAGAAAGCTGTTGGTATTGAGGATTGGAAGAAGTCCACGAGGTCTGAAGTGGGCAAATTTTATTTTATTTTATTTATTATTATTTTGGAGGTAGGGTCTCTCTCTGATACCCAAGCTGGAGTGCAGTGATGCAACCTTTGCTTCCCAGATTCAAGTGATTCCCATTCCTCAGCCTCCTGAGTAGCTGTGATTACAGGTATAAGCCACCACACCCAGCTAATTTGTTTTTAATAAGGACAGGGTTTCACTATAGTGACCAGGCTGGTCTTGAACTCCTGGCCCCAAATGGTCCACCTGATGCTTTCTAAGTGCTGGGATAACATGTATGAGCCACTGTGCCCAGCCTGAAGTGGGGCCAATCTTTTTTGATCCGTTTAGTTTTGATACAGAGTTTCTTGAGTTCAGACTTTTTAAATTGTTTATTAGGGTTTCAACAATGAAAGAAAGTTATAAATAGAAAATTTGTGCTACTCAAAAGCTGTGTAAATAAAATTTTTACAAAGAAAGAGCACCAGTTCTCCATAACACCAAAAGGATCCCCTTTGCTTACTTAGAATCATGACCTTCATCACTTCTACAGGCCGCAAGTAAGGTCAACTCTTCCTTGTCAGCCCCACCAGCCTTGGTTTTAATGTTGATAGTATTAAGTAGAATGAGGTTGATAATCTTAGGTATTGTCACAAAAGAAATGCCTGGCTTTTATAAGAGCTCATTCACAGAGGGAAGTGAATGTGATTTGTCTTAAATATTGAAATAGAAAAAAAATCTATATTGGGCTAACTTTTTAATGTTCAATTACATGTTTCAAAGACATTATCAAGATGGAGTATTCTCGTTGATCTAATAATCTAAAAACCAACTGATTAAACATTAGCTTGTTTTAGCCTTGGACCAATTATTTATAAAACAAGATTTCAAAGACATGGAAAGAATTGGATCTACAATGAAAATGAAATAATTGGCCTTAAATGGAAGAGGAAGACTCTAAGGATGAATATGCATGATTCCACTTATATGAGGTATTCAAAATAGTTAAACTCTCAGAAAGAGAGAGTAGAATGTGGGTTGATTGGGAAGAAGGGAAATGGAATTGCTGTTCAAAGGGAACAGAGTTTCAGTTGTACAAGATAAGAGCTAGAGATCTGTTGTAAAATATTGTGCTTAATTAACAATAGTGTATTGTGCACTTGAAAATGTATTTAGAGGGTAGATCTCATGTTAAATGTTTTTACCACAATAAAAAAAGGAGTTGTGAAAAGTGGATTCAAATATATTGAAGATTTGAGTGGTAGTGGAGGGAAATAATATGTGATATTCTCAATTTTATTGATGTCATACGATAAAACTTTGAAAAAGTAAAAAGAGTCACAGGTAATGGAAATGGAGTAACTTGCTTATCTGGGCCATCAAAAATATAGCTCTACAAGGCATTTATTTGTGTAATTGTATTATTTCTTCACAACTGGGACATGATTAAAAATAAGAGTGTATTATTCTTGGTCAGGGCTATCTTGAATAATAAATATTTTACCAGAAAAAAGGCCCCATTTCTTTTTTATTGTTTCTTTCTTTGAAGCTCTTCTCTTTACTATTTTATAATACTTTAAGATATAACTGGTCAATAAAAGAAAATACATGCAGTTCAGATCTTTAGAAGGCTTTTAACAAAGGCGTTAGTGTTAGACAGACTCTAAAATATATTCTAATCCCCAATAAGTCCTTTCATATTTAAACAATCTGTAGTTCACAAAAGAAATGCCTGGCCTTTATAAGAGCTCAATAGCACTTGAATATTTTGTTTTGTTTTGTTTGAGTCCTGGAGTAGGGAGTAAGTGAGGAAGCATTTCCTCATGTTTGTGTTCAACTAAACTAAGCAAATATGGTTTAAGTAAATTACACAATGCCAGATCAATTAGGCAGAGGCCAGTTCATAGCAAAACATTTATGTCCCTTCCTCCTTCCTGGAAAAATGCAAATCATTGCCCTGCCAACAAGCAAATGACCATTTGCTTTTCTAACAATTGATCCTGTCTCTGACCTGGACCTTCAAATAATCTAACCATAGAAGTAGGCTGTATAAACTTAGAATCATAGAGATTGCACATTGTACAATGGCCGCATTCTACAAAAGCAGAAATGAGGTCAGGTCAAAGACTTACTTTGCTTAAATTCAATGTCTCATCTCATCTTATATGTCCTCACATTTATTGAATGTTTACTATTTGCCAAGCACTCTGTCTTCAGTAACTCATTTAATCCTTATGAGAACCCTATAAGGTAGGCATTATTATTTTTCTCATTTTATAGATGAACAACTTTGGCTCCCAAGACTTCAGCATGCCCAGTGTCAATCAGTTTGTCAGTAAATAGCCTAGATTGGAACCCTGTCAGATTTCAGAGCCTACACTTTAAACACAATATATTCCGTCTCTCTAATACTTTATATCTAGCAGTGTTACCCAATCAATGTATTCAAATTGTAAAACTGTACACAAATATTTGTATTATTATATAAATATAATAGTCATATTTTACATCTCTTATTCTTTATCAACAAAATTTAAACTAGATTATATTTATTTAATCTAACATAATAAAATTGCATTTATCAGTTTAGACAATGGTGAACTGCTTTTGCATGTCTGTTCTCATCACTCATTTTTATAAACTGTAGCAAGCAGTTCAACACTAAGTTCACTTAATATATTATACCTCAAAAATAAGCAACAAGTGTTTATTTACAAACTAAATACTATCAAACTTTTTCCTTTTCTGATCATTAAATATCAATAAGTCAATTTGCAAATAAATAATGCATTTTTTTCCCTGAGGCATGAACAAAACCCTAGCTTCTTCCTTTTCTCTGCTTTTAGGGATGAGGATTCCTGGACTCTGATACATAGAACACATCCAGTAAATATGAATCAGTGGAAAGGAATAATTTATGTCCATAACTATAATCTGAATTTCCTCTTTCATAATTAAAATGTGGAAAATTTTTTCCCTAAATGAAAGTGGAATATATGTATAAGGAACTGTCATTATTTGAAGATAATATTATTGTGTATCTGGAAAATTTAAAAGGATACTTTGAAATGTTCATACACAAGATAATGAAATATAAAATAAATATTCAGACATTGAATGGACAAGAGGAAGCAAAGCAAAAGTGCAACTTACTCTTCTAGCTATGCGTGAGTAATGTTTTTCTTTCTCTGACTCAGGAGGCTCATGTCTTAGGTCAGTATGCATGAAACACACAGGCTGACTTGGTACCTTGAAAGTAAGATAAACATCTCAGATTCTTCACAGTTCTTGATGGTTTTGGGGGATGAAGATGGATGGGTTGCCAACAGAAGAATGGGTTTCTCAAAGAGAAGGGACAAGAGTCCCCATGGATTGGGTGAGGGAATGTGAGAAGTCTTCGTTACCTAAATGAAGTGTTAATTGCATCACTCTCCTCCGGGGAGCTGAGAATGCAGAGGTAGGCAGTACCCAGTCTTATAGGCCCTCAGAGGTCAAGCCTCAGTTCTGTTTTCTGCTCCTGCACCTTCATTGGCTTCTATAATACAGCCATGATTCTTTACTTTCGTCCTGCAAGGGTTCAACATTTGATGTTTCTTTATGCATAACCAGCACTCTAACCCAAATAAGCTTAGCCATGGATATCTTTTACAAAGAAAAAAATTGGCTTTGCAAAAGTAATTCATAAAACTCCTGACTAAAATAAATAATAAAACATTACCTTCACACTTTCCATTTCTTTCTAACTTTCCCTTTCTATCTTCTCTTCCAATTATTTTTTTCCTTCTTCCGTCCTGGTATGGAGGTGTCAGAATCTATCTGTGGAGGGGGAGCCATCTATGAAGGCTTCTTGGAGGCATGCAGGATTCTGCAGCAGATAAGGAGAGTCAGGCAGAAGTGCATTCAAGGTGGGTGAGGAACTGGCAAGTGGAGGAGATATCCAGGGGTGGTCTGGAGATTCATTACATTGAGCAAATAATTACTTTATTTGAGCGAATAAATAAAGGCATTGTAAATGATGAGAGCCAGGTTTATCTCATGTGGAAAACGTACTTAAAAACATGGAAGGAAATTCAAGATGGTTCGGTAAGGACAATTCAGGATTGCAGCTCTCAGTGAATGCGCAGAGGGTGAGTCAAAGCCGCATTTCCAGACAGATCTTTGTTGCCCACAAAATGGGGAAATTCCCAGGTGTAGTAGAGACACAGGATGCCAGCACAGCTGTTTTGGCTGGTGCGGCCACTTCAGCCAGCACTGCAGAGCAGCAGCACTCCACAACACTCCACACAAAATACACTAATCTGGATGCCCTGTTAAACTAGCAATCTGAGATTTGGGAGGGCAGATTAGTATATCCATCTGATTATACGGGACGTGGACAGTGAGTGAGACCAAGAGATTCTTGGGAAGAGGGTTTGAGCCAGTGCAGTGGGTCACTGCACGGGAAATCACACAGATCCCAATGTCCTAACAGCAGGTGACTAAAACACCTGAAAGAGCCAACCATTCAACTTAAAAAAAAAAAAAAAAGGTGCTCTGAGGCAGGAAGCCAGGTGAGCAGGCTCAGTGGGTTTCACCCCACAGAAACAAACAGAATGGAGATTCGAAATGCTCCAGGTGGAGAGTTTCACTGCCGGCACAGCTGAACCCAGGATGGTGCAGCTGGGGGGGAGCGGCGTCTGCCATTACCAAGGAAATCCGCCCCTACAGAGGTACACTCCCATTGCTGATGCAGCCTGCTGTTGCTGAGGCAAACCACCATAACAGAGAGACTCCACGCAGGGCGGAACCTGTGGCAGCAGTGTGGAGACCATGGCTGCAGGGCAGAGCCTGTGGCAACAGGGTACACCCCATGCCAGCAGGGCGGAGCCTTGGCAGGCAAATAGTGACTAGACTGCCTCCTAGATGGGCAGGATAGTGCAACAGACACTCATAAAGAAAGCCCTAACTCCCCGAGACAGAGCATCTGAGGAAAAAAAGGGGTTTTATGAGTTCTGCTGCAGCAGACTTAAACGTAGCAGCCTAACAGCCCTGAATAAACAATGGAGCTCACAGCTCAGCACTTGAGCTTTTATAAAGTACAGACCATCTCCTCAAGCAGCTCCCTGACCCCTGTATATCCAAAGAGTCACCTCAAAAAAGACTGATCAGACTAACATTTGGCAGGCATCATTCTGGGACAAAGATAGCAGCAGAAGAAACTGATAGCATCCCTCACTGTTCTGCAGCTGCTACAGGTGTACCCCAGACAAGCAGGGCCTGGAGTGGACTTCAGCAGTCGTACAGCAGAGGGGCTAGACTGGGAGAAGGAAAACCAAGTAACAGAAATACTTCATCATCAACAATCTGGGCGTCCACTGAGAGAAAAACACCCAAAACCAGAACACCTCACCTCCTACAAAGGACCAAACCTCCTCACAAGCAAGGGAACAAAGCTGGATGGAGAATGACTGTGACAAAATGACAAAACTAGACTTCAGAAGGTGGATAATGAGAAACTTCTTTTAGCTATAAGAACATGTCCTAAATCAATGCAAGGAAACAAAGAACTTTAAAAAAAAAGATTTGAAAAAAGATTTGAGATAATGATAAGAAGAACGGATAACTAAGAGAGGAATATGAATGAATTGAAGGAGCTAAAAAACACAACACAAGAACTTCGCGAAGCATGCACAAGTTTTAACAGCCGAATTGAACACGTGGAAGAAAGAATATCAGAAGTCGAAGATCAACTCAATGAAATAAAATGAGAAACCAAGATTAAAGAAAAAAACACACAAATAAATGAACAAAGTCTCCAAGAAATGTGGAACTATGTGAAGAGACCTAACCTACATTTAATAGGTGTACCAAAATGTGACGAACAGAATGAATTCAAGCTGGAAAATACTCTTCAGGATATTATCCAGAAAAATTTCCCCAACCTAGCAAGGCAGGCCAACACTTAAATTCAGAAAATAAAGAGAACACCACAAAGATACTCCACAAGAAGAGCAACCCCAAGGCACATAATCGTCAGATTCACCAGGGTTGAAATGAAGGAGAAAATACTAAGAGCAGCCAGAGAGAAAGGTCGGGTCACCCACAAAGGGAAGCCCATCAGACTCACAGCAGATCTCTCAGCAGATACCCTACAAGCAAGAAGAGAGTGAGGGCCAATATTCAACATCCTTAAAGAAAAAACCTTTCAACCCAGAATTTCATATTCAGCCAAACTGAACTTCACAAGTGAAGGAAAATAAAATCCCTTGCAAACAAGCAAGTACTCAGAGATTTTGTCACCACCAGGCCTCCTCTACAAGAGCTTTTGAAAGAGACACTACACATAGAAAAAAACAACCAGGACCAGCCATTCCATAATCACACTAAAGCTAAAGAGCATCAACATAATGAAGAATCTACATCAACTAATGGGCAAAACAGCCAGCTAGCATCAAAATGGCAGGATCAAATTCACACATAACGATATTAACCCTAAATGTAAATGGACTAAATGCACCAATCAAAAAACACAGACTGGCAAATTGGATAAAAATCCAAAACCCATCAGTGTGCTGTATCTAGGAAACCCATCTCACATGCAAGGATACACAAAGGCTCAAAATAAAGAGATGGAGAAAGATTTACGAAGAAAATGAAGACCAAAAAGAAGCAGGAGTTGCAATTCTCATCTGTGATAAATTTGATAAAGAGACAAAGAAGGTCATTATGTAATGGTAGAAGGATCGATAAAACAAGAAGAGCTAACAATCCTAAATATATATGGACCCAATAAAAAAGTACTCAGATATATAAGATAAATTCTTAATGACTTACAAAAAGACTTAGACTCCCACACAATAATAGTGGGAGACTTTAACACTCCACTGTCAATATTAGACAGATCAACCACACCGAAAATTAACAAGGATATCCAGGGCTTGAACTCAGACCTGGAACAAGCAAACCTGATAGACATTTACAGAATTCTCCACCCCAAATCCACAGAATATACATTCTTCTCAGCACCACATCACACCTACTCTAAAATTGACCACATAATTGGAAGTAAAGCACTCCTCAGCAAATGCAAAACAATTGAAATCATAACAAACAGCCTCTCAGACCATAGTGCAATCAAGTTAGAACTCAGAATTCAGAAACTAACTCAGAACCGCAAAGCTTCATGGAAACTGCACAACTGGCTCTTGAATGTTGACTGGAAAAACAATGAAATGAAGGCATAAATAAAGAAGTTCCTTGAAACCAATGAGAACGAAGACACAACATGTCAGAATCTCTGGGACACATTTTAGGCAGTCTCTAGAGGAAAATATATAGCAATAAGTGCCCATATGAAAAGAATGGAGAAATCAAAAATTGACACCCTATCGTCAAAATTGAAAGAGCTAGAGGAGCAAGATTAAAAAAAACTCAAAACCTAGCAGAAGACAAGAAACAACTAAGATCAGAGACACAAAAACCCCTTGAAAGAATCAATAAATACAAGAGCTGTTTTTTTGAGATCAACAAAATAGACAGACCACTAGCCAGACTGAAAAAAAAGAAAAGAGAGAACAACCAAATATATGCAATAAAAAATGTTCAAGGGGAAATCACCACAGATTCCAAAGAAATTCAAACCATTATCAGAGAATATTACAAACAACTTTACGCACATAAACTAGTAAACCTGGAAGAAATGAATAAATTCCTGGACTCCTGTGTCCTCCCAAGCCTAAACCAGGAGGAAGCCAAACTATGAATACACCAATAAAACGGTCTGAAGTCGAGGCAGCAATTAAGAGCCTACCACACAGAAAAAGCCCAGATCCAGATGGATTCACAGACAAATTCTACCAGACACACAAAAAGAAGCTGGTACCATTTCTTCTGAAACTATTTGAAATAATCCAAAAATAGGGAATCCTTCCCAAATCATTTTATGAGACCAACATCATCGTGTTACCAAAACCCGGCAGAGACCCAATAAGAAAAGAAAACTTCAGGCCAATATCCATGATGAACATAGATGCAAAAATCATCAATAAAATACTGGCAAATTGATTGCAACAGCACATCAAAAAACTTATCCATCATGATCAAGTAGGATTCATCCCGGGGATGCAAGGCTGGTACAACATATGCAAGTTTATAAACATAATTCACCACATAAATAGAACCAAAAAAAAAAAAACCACATGATTATCTCAATTGATGCAGGGAAGGCATTTGACAAAATACAACAGCCCTTTATTCTAAAATCCCTTAATAAACTCGGTATTGATAAAACGTATCTCAAAGTAATAAAAGCTATTTATGACAAACAAACAGCCAATATCATACTGAATGGGCAAAAACTTGAAGCATTCCCTTTGAAATGCAGCACTAGACAAGGATGCCCTCTTTCACCACTCCTATTCAATATAGTACTGGAAGTTCTAGCCAGAGCAATCAGGCAAGAAAAAGAAATAAACGGTATTCAAATAGAAAAGGAGGAAGCCAAATTGTCTCTATTTCCAGACGACATGATAGTATACCTAGAAGACCCCATCACCTCAGCCCAAAAACTCCTGAAACTGTTAAGCAACTTCAGCAAAGTCTCAGAATATAAAATCAATGTGCAAAAATCACAAGGTTTTTTATACACCAATAAAAGACTTAAAGAGAGCCAAATCAAGATTGAACTGCCATTCACAATTGCTAAAAAAGGAATAAAATACCTAGAAATACAACTTACAAGGAATGTAAGGGACCTCTTTAAGGAAAACTACAAACCACAGCTCAACTAAATAATAGAAGACACAAACCATTGGAGAAACACTCCATGTTCATGGTTAGGAAGAATTAATACCGTGAAAATGGCTATACTGCCCAAAGTAATTTACAGCATCAACGCTGTCCCCATCAAGCTACCACTGACTTTCTT